TGGGCATTGATAGATGAATGGTGGCATGTGAAGTAAGTTCAGGATCAAGCATGCATAGATACAGAACACAAAGCTGCATGATTAAGTATATGGACTTGGATCGACAAGTAAAGCAACGTTGCAGACGTGACAAGTGTGAGTGGGTCGATCAGAAAGGGAGCGAGGCACAAGAAGCTGCAAATCGAAACAATACATGTATGCTATATCGGATCGTTCGAGAGCTTACCAGCTCACCATCTGGAAGCGGGGCACCGATCAAAGATCGGGACGGCAGGGCCCTTCCTACTCAAGAAGAACGCGAGCATCGGTGGGTTGAGCACTTCAAGGAAGTCCTAAACCAGCCAGCGCCAACCACAGTATTCGATCCCAGCCTCCTAAACCCTATAACCGATCTGCCAGTAAATCTTGACATGATCACAGCAGCGGAAACAAAAAATGCGATCCGGGCATTCAAGAACGGCAAGGCTGCAGGCTTGGACAAGATCCCGCCTGAACTACTTAAATCTAGTGACCATTGCCTAGTTGATGCCCTGACGGATTTGCTCAATGCTTGCTGGGCAACCTCAGCAGTCCCTGAGGAATGGAAACGAGGTATGATCTTCACGCTCCCAAAAAAAGGCCATCTCTCCAAGTGCGATAACTGGCGGGGTATTACCCTTCTCTCTGTACCTGGAAAGGTATTCTCTATTGTCCTGGTCTTTCGAAGGGGCAGATCCTGCATTGAGCAGATTTTTGCTATGCGACAAGTGATAGAACAATCACTGGAATACCAAAAACAGATCTCACTGAACTTTATCGACTTTGTCAAGGCCTTTGACTCGGTGCACCGAGAAACGCTATGGAAGATAGCCTGGGCTTATGGAATTCCATCTCGATTTGTAGACATCTTTCTCAACCTTTACCAAGGCTCTCGATGTTGTGTACGGATGGAAGAAGGAATAACTGATTTCTTCACGATTGAAACTGGCATGGGTATTGACAAGGGTGTGTGCTTTCACTGATGTTATTCCTCCTTGTCATCAACTTTGTCGCCCGCCACTCCATCGACCGCCTACACATCGGCATACCCTGGACAGTTGGTAATCTCTTCCTCGCCGATCTCGACTTTGCCGATGATATTGTCATTCTCGGCCCGACTCAAACTGCCCTACTAGACCTCACTGTGACCCTAGAAAATCAGACGGCCAGCGCTGGATTCCGAATTAATGGACAGAAGACTAAAGTCGTTTGCATTGGTTATGTAAACTCGAGAGTACCAATTACAATCGATCGGAAAAAAGTTGAGAAAGTTGCAAACTTCACTTATCTTGGCAGTGTCGTCTCCTCAAATGGGGATGCAGAACGAGATGTCATCTGCCACATCGGCAAAGCATCTGCCGTGTCTATTTCAATATGCAGCAGCTTTTTCCGTAGTCTAACGTTATTTTCACAATTAAAAATTCTCTAATCCAACTCGTTACATTTCTTATTTAGAGAAGTGAAATAAACATCTGCCATGTAGTTAGTCAACAGCAAGAAGGCAGAGACTCGCAAAATCGGGGGGGGGGGCACTTGCACCAGTGACAGATGAAGAGGAGATGGTCAAGTATTAGAAGAATTTTAAAATCCAAAAGGAAAAAGAATAACTGTTGCTTTTGTATTTGTAGGAAATAAAGATGACCAAATAAATTGTGAATAATTTGTGTTTATTTAACAGATGTGGTTATGACATATATCTCATACTACCCTTCCATCTGGCATCCTTCCATTCCATGCAGTAATCAGCTTCATTTTCAGAAGGTGTGATGATAGATATATGCGTGTCATCAATGCATCCAACCAGACTGGAAAACATTGACCTGCAGTCCTGTGAAACTCCTCTTTGATGGATTTGTGCTCAAGAAACAACACAACAATTCTAAGAAAAAGTGTGAGAGCGATGCACACTTTCCTTACCACTCTGCTTACAGCGGTCTAACTAATGTGCTCTGCATCTCCGATGTTTTATAGAAAACTACCATTTAAAAATGGTACTGCGCCAATAAATATGCATGTGAATATGGCAAAAAAAATAAAAAATCCCTGTAATTAATGCAGCATATAAAAATATGCACGATGAATGAATACCTGCACTGCAAAAAAATGCTTTCATACAGTCATACTACATTCAAAATCAGATACATAACTTGTCACTCATGAATCATAACGTCTGAGGTACTAGTACCATGAAAATAGATACTAGTACGGTTTATAGATTAAATGTTAAAACGGCTTGCCATAGCTAGCCTCCCTTGAAAGGGTTCTTTTCTCAACACTCCTCAGCGCTGAAAGTGAACACTCGATGCTGATTGGTTAATTTTTGTTACCAACGGAGGCACGAGAGCTCCGCGCTCCCCCGGCCTCCCTCTCCCCTTCTCTATAACCTAGCGGTTGCAATTACATCAGCAGATTCGGCACATTCGCGATAGAAAAGCGGCGCTTTCACGTTATGGTATTACAGCTGTGAAATTACAAACAAAAAATACACACTCTGAGACATGAACTGAAATATTTTATTAACTTTATTAACATTAAATCGTCCTCCTCCCATTTTCACCTTAAAATTATGGGGAGGCTGTGCCTCCCCCGACGAGCCGCCACTGTTCCTTACTTAGAATTAGTTTTCTTGTTTCCAGTCAAAATATCTGAAGATTCTTAAATCAAAATACATTTTCTACATAAAAAAAAATTGGGGTTGGTATATAATAATAGTTTATAGATTATTTTCCTTACCATATGGCAGATAATTTTTACATTTTACGTAAAATGCACTTGAAATGCACCCCAGGAAACAAGACTAAATATCTTATATAATTTTTCACATATAGAAAATGCATCTTGACTTAAGAATTTTTTGATATTTGTACTTGAAATACGACAAAAATACTCTGTAATAAAGGCATTTTTGCAGCGTGAATGAGTGAAAACTCTGGGTTTACTGAAGAAAACCTGCTCCCAACCAGGTTAGGTTCACAGAGTTAGTTACCATGGTAAGTGACTCTAAGTTACCTCTCTTTCAGAAATGGGCTTGACTTACCCTGCTGTCTCTGATTTGACAAACCTCCCATTCTGAAACAGAAAACCCAGTTTCCTTAATTTCAGGGTTAACATACTCAAGAGTTTTCACTTAACCTCCTTTCTGAAACGGGCCCCTGGACTTCCTAAATAAAGATCCTGGTGTCGGCGCCAATGGCCTCGCGGTTAATTTCTGTCTCAAGGTCCTTTGCCGATCCTGCTCTCTTCTCTCCACCCAATGCTTTTCTGTCGTCGCTCTACTGTCCTATCCAAACAAAATAGGCATAACCCCCCCCCCCAAAAAAAAGATCCTGGTACCTGGGAAAACAATGTAAATGCAAGAAAGAGGTGTTGCGCTTAATCAAGAGTACAATGGACTCCTCTCACAGAAAAAACGCAGTTCATTATGCAGATTGTCTGAGAGCACCAAAATCTGCAGCAGATCATCATAAATATCTAGATCAAATCTCAATTTTGTTCCAAGTTCACTTTCTTCACGAGTACAGTAATTTCACTTTTTAACATCCTGGTTCTACATCTGCAAGAACTTTGCGGCTGAAGGACATGCCGGACTGTCATCACGATCCAGATCAAATCGCAACTTTCAAAGATCGGTTCTCATTAGCAGCGTTGTAATTTAACCTTTTTTAAGATTTTTTTTTTTTTAATTGTATGCCTTTATTTCAATAGGACAGTAAGCGGACAGAAAGCCAAGTGGGAGAGATAGGAGGGCAGGATTAGGAAAGATCCGCGAGCTGGGACTCGAACTCGGGATTGCTGACAACAACGTTCTGTGTTCTCGTTTAACCTAATTCAGTTTACTAATGGCCTTGTATAATTATTAATTGCGTGCTGTTATGGTCATTAAGACAGAATTTCAGTTTTGTTGAGCACACCCCAAATGTAGTCCAAGCTCAGCGAAATTTGGTTTGTTTCCATTTCTCATGAAGAAGAGTTGACTGGGCGGGTGAGAGCAGAAGATTACAAAAATAATGGCCATGCTAATCATCAAATCCTTTCATTAATACTGGACCTGGCAGTTTGCTAAGATTCTAATTATTATTAAACAGTAACCACAAACTATGCAAAAGTGTATGCCTTTATTCGGAGTGTCCGAATTCGTTCACTCAGTGCTTCAATTGGACTGTTTGTGGACTAAGGTAGGGAAGGGTGTTATTTAGAAGGCGGGACTATTCCGCCATATTGCGTGTTGTACTTTCTCCCATTCAAGTAATATGTGTGAACTGCCTTTGTATATCTAAAGTCCTTTATTGTAATCATCCCCTGACCAGTTTCATCATCCATCTGTCAAAATATAACGTCCAGTTGTTCAGCAAAAAAAAAAAAAAAAACTACTGAAATGACCAATGCTGGTATTTGTACAGTCACAGAAACATTTACAAGCTGTATTTCTTCTCAGTTTGGGGGGGAAATCTAAAATGACAGTGGCTGAATGTGTTAAGAGTATAGAGTACCAAAAATACTGTGGTATGTTACATTGTAAATGAGCAGGAAACCTACTATTAAAGTTTGGTTATAGCACCACCTATAGACAAAAGTTTTTTGTGCATAATCTTTTAAAATTTTGGCATAAAAATAAATGTAGCTTTCCTTCATGCTTAAAGTACAATATCTCTTTTCAGGCATGCTGAATATACCAGTAAATCATAAAAAAAGAGAGAAACAACAAAATCGTCTCAAACTGCTTTTATTACATCTTAAATAACAGTACATTTTAATATAGTTTCTATCTTGCATCCAGCTTTCTCTTGTACACTGACTTTAAAATTAAATACAAAAGATGGATAAGGGTACAGTGGGAATGCAGAGCTGTAAGTTATTCGTATGGAGAGAGGCAATGAGAGGACAGGGAAGAGAGGGAGGAAGAAAAGCAAATTAAGTTCATTTTTTGTTTTGTTTTTCTTGCCAACTCCAGGCCTAACGCACAACGACAGCACTTTGTTTTGTTTTTTTTGTACAGAATGTTGCAGAGAAATAACAGAATGGAAGAAATGCCACTACAGCTAAGGAAAGAGCGCTTTTCTTGATACATGTCAAGAGAGAATAACAGAAATTTCTGCCATTCAAATGCTGCGTAATTTTTTTTATTAAAGAACAAAAAGAACCTGTTTGTTACAAAATGTCTCTAGCACTGTCTTTGTATCTGAAATTTGTCTTTTGCTACAGAGAGAGATTTCTTTGTTCTAGTTATTTGAGTGTGTGTGTTTGTACAGGGTCAGTGTGTGTGTGTGTGTGTGTGTGTGTGGGATTCACAAACTCTCCAGGGACAGAACAACTCACCATTCGCTGTTGTGATCAACATGTTTGCTTCTCTTAAGTGCATAGCTTTGAAAGTTAAACTTAATTGTGTATGCACAGAGTAGCAAAAGAAAAAAAAAGAAAATAAATACTGTGATGATCTATTTAACAGGTTATTAAAAAAAAAGAAAAAGAAAAACATCAAGGATTTAGTTCCATATGCACCTCTTTTAAGCAATTCTACAGCATGCGATTCTACGAGTTTCCCACCCATGGCAGACAACCAAAATATGTTTATTAAAAAAAAAAAATTTATTTTTATTTTTTTAACTTAAAAAGTTTTCAATATCATTATTTTCAAACATTGATTTATACAACATGTCATTCACAGAGTAGTAACTGTTTTCCAAGCACAAAACGGGCACCTCTGCTGAAACCAAAAAAATGAAGAACTGCCCACCCCTCCTTCAACATCCTCCACATCAAAGATAAGAAAAATATAAAATAAAATTATTAAAATGATTGGTTAATCTTCATTGAATTACTCTACATTTTCCAAAAAAGCATGAGGAGACGTATGGTTAAAATTGACATGGTTTCGTCTTCGTAAATCAAGCATTCGTCATCATGAATAGCACGTGCTTGGTTAGTTAGCGTATCTGCAAAACTGTAGTACTTGTGCAAACAAAAATTCGCAACTAGACAAAAAAAAAAAAAAGAACATTAATAATCAAATTTCCTGGGACTAAATATACAGGCTTGATAGCAGCTAGTGGACCCCTGATCAAATCCTTTACCGTTTACTGACGTAAAGAAGCTCTGTGACATGACGACTTGGAGAACGTCACGCTTGTTTTAATTCTTAACTATAAATTTGATCCCGAAACATTTAAAAACTAGGAGACAAAAGCACGCCTGCGATCCTGACTGGGGAGAGGTCCAAAAAAGGCCCATAAAGCTATCGAGCTAGTTTCTTTTAGAAAAAACGCCTGTTTTCATGTTAAAGATAGATGTTAGCATGATGACAATAGCAGTGGAATGAGTGTCTCGTGTTCTCTCAATACAGTATCAGAAAATGGTCCCAGAAGGATGCACAATTATCAACTTTTATCCACTTACCAACTACAGTCTAGCCGAGTGTAACAATTGTGCTCTTTTTTTTTTTTCCCCAAAGAAGAAATTTTGATCTTTTGTCGTTTATAGATGTTGGGGTCAGTTCTGTTGTGTTTGAGAAGGAGAGAGGGGAATAAAATCAAAACGTTTTCATTTTGGAATGGTCTTCCAGTCAACCTTAGAGTCCGGATGCGATCTGGGAAGAAAGAAAGGGGAAAAAGAAAACGTGAAAACGTTTCAGTGACCCAAGAAAGCCTATCCATGATCAGCTGTGACCCAAGGCATGCGTTTTTAACAGCAGGTGGCAGCAGAGATGCACTGTTTGAGGCAGCAGCAGCTCATTACAACTATTTTTGGCAAATCTGACATCACTGCTGGGTGCTTGGCATCAGAAAGCTGCTGAGGATGCACCTTAAACGATGATACGATCAAACAGACAATGTTTCTGATGCATTTGTTATTATTTAGTCACAAGGTGCATCCCAAATCGCACACTTATGGACTTTTCTATGATGTTTTGTAGTATAAATGGTGCGAGTAATAGTGTGTTCACACTTGACATGCCAAAAAGAAAAAGAGCCCTTTAAATACCCGGATGATGCACTTAAATAATCAGAAAAATGAAGTGTGGAATGTTAGACACTGCATGCACTCAACTGTCGCAGTACATAGCCTTTTATAATTCATACACTAGTACACAGTGCACAAGTACATATTGTAGAAGTGCATCATTTGGGACGCAGCTACAGTCTTAAGCCCTGAATATCAGCTGATGCCAGGAATGGTGTGACAAATCAATGCACTGCTGTCACCTGTTAAATGAGTAGCTGAAAATGAGCAGTTTACCTTACGGCTTTAATTCCAGATCTTAAGGAAACTATCCCAGGAGCCTGTAGCCACAGCCATCCCGTCATCAGTTACACCCAAGCAGCTGACGCGGTTATCGTGACCCGCCAAAACTCCTGCAAGCATACAACACGCACACGTCACTTCATACTGAACCTCTTACGGTGACACGCATCTCATGTTTTATCCCATCTGTTGACATCCGTTTGAAATAAACTTTCATTCATTCATTTGAAATAAAAGGATGTTCAACGCTATCATGCATACATATAATTTTCAGAAACAAAGCAAACGGGACATGCAGCAGACACACAATAAGGATGTGTGTGTGTGTGTGTGTGTGTGTGGTGATGGACTATTTTCTGTGAATGTGGGAGACTTCCTTCATTAGCCGCTAAAGGTAAACAACTACAAGAATCAGAAAGTTATCCCAGATCTTTAAAACATTATCTGAAGTTCTCAAAATTCATATTAAACCTTTGGCTGCTGCAGCTTTATTTGGGACCCTTTCTCTATCGCCTGACATATCCAAATATAAGACTGGTGTTGAAGCTTTTGTAACACTCCTGGTGAGACGTTTCATTTTACTAAATCGGTACATTTTTACTAAATCGCCTACAACACTCATTCTTTATGGATGAACTAGAGAAAATCAGACACACAATGAAATTAACTTCTGGTAATTTCTATAATACTTGGGGTCCTTTCCTAGATTGTTTAGGAAAGTGAAATGTTCTTTAATCTCTGAGAATATTACTCCTCCGGCAGTAACCCTTTCCCCTCCCCCAATATATAGATTACTAGTCTACTTCATCTTGAGCATCATTTTCTCACACCTGTGATGTTAATGTGCATATTTGTTTGGATGACCAAGCTTTTTATGGCCTTCTAATTATTTATTTATTTAACTCTTTATTTTAAAATTATTATGTTGGTATATTATTATTCACTAACCTTTTTTGTGGTTGTTTTTTTTTATTCAGAGTTGCTGTTTATTTGTGTAGAATAAGTACATATACATGTCATCAATCACTCTATATCTGTAATTGTATGGTGTAACCCGCTGAGGTGGAGAAAATCAAAATAAAGTGAAAAAAGAATCGGAAAATTATCCTGATTAAGTAAAATATTTGTGCTAAAAACCATAATGCAATACATTAAAATAAGAAGACATTAATTACCAGTTTGCAATATCAAGCAGCATAACAAAATGTACTGCTTAAATAACTGGAAGTGAACGACACCAGGAGCCTCGTCGCTCTTATGTTAAAGGACTGTAGACATAGATTTGTTTGTTCAGGTCTTTGATCACACCAAAGCACAGGCTTCGTCAGTAAGTTTCAGATTTTGTGAAATATATATTTTGTGAAATATACCCATGCATCACTATGACCGCAGGAGACCTCCTCTTTTCACACTGACCTGCACGGTCGGCTTTAAGAGCATCCCACACGTTGCAGTTGAAATCGTCGTAGCCGGCGAGCAGCAGGCGTCCGCTTTTGGAAAAGGCCACGGAGGTGATCCCACAGATGATGTTGTCGTGAGAATAAACCATCAGCTCCTGATCGGCACGCAGGTCAAACAGCCTGCAGGTGGCGTCGTCCGAGCCAGTGGCGAACGCGTTTCCATTGGGGAAGAACTGAGACGAGACAGCGAGGTTACCAGCTTATACATGCAATGCACACTTGTCATGTAGGGCTGCACGATTAATCGAATGCGCTAGTCATGCGCATCTTGTCAGTGAAGCATGGTTCTATGATCAGCAGTAAATCTCCATCCGAACGCCATATATATATATATATATAAGTATATAATAATGCAATGCTAATCGACATAGCCTTTATCCCTGCTTAGAATACTATGAAATTTGTAGCGTGCCTTATTCGGTGTAAGAAGCACATCATCTCACATCTCACAGAAGGATTTATTTCAAACACTCGACTGATGTTTAGTGCTGTCAAACAATTAATCGCATCCAAAATAAAAGTGTTTGTTTACATAACATATGCATGTATACTGTGTATATTTATTATGTTTATATAAATACACATACATGCATGTATATATTTAAGAAAAATGTTATGTTTATATATTAAATATATTTATACATAACGTCTCGGTTACGTATGTTAACCCTCGTTGACGTGACGTCTCTGTTCCCTCCTTCAGGGAATGAGGGTTACATATATGTAACCGAGACGTTCCCTTTCAGTCGGTCACTCCGAGTGGATGCTGCCCCTTCCAGTGTCCTGTGCGAGCCGCCTGCGCCCCTTTGTGGT